TGAGTGGCACGATCAGGCGTGCAGGGCAGAAGGGCTTCTGGGATGCCACTGGGAGGATGAGAAGCCACAGTAGATCCATTAGCAGAGGCAGCACAGCAGTTCTCTTGTTCAGTGTCTGGAGTCATCGGACAGACTCAGAGGAGTAGAGCTAAACAAGGGTGGAAAATCTTACCTGGTTTGGTCTCAAGTTAGGAAAATAGCTTAAGAAGCCCTAACAGCAACATAGACCACCTGACTTTTCAGACTACCTCTGTCCAGCTAGATTACTAAAGCTAACTTTGATATTATTAAAATTGTATACATTTTTCTTTGCCTCCAAGTCATGGGTCTAAGAAACCAAGCTTTTAAAAATAAAACCACAATAAATATTTTTCCTAAAAGTTTAGAATAATGTTAAAGTAGCTATCTACAGCGAATACAATTAAAAAAAAAATCTGTAAAACACAGTGTAGCTCAGGAGTTTTTCATTACTGATTGGGTTCACCAAGGTAAGGGGAAGCAGCTTGGTGGAAGTGCAAGCTTGGTAGGAGCCAGCGCGGGCCAGGCTGCCAGGACTACCAAACCTGTTGCCTAAAAGAGCTGCTTTGTCTACTAAAGAAAACACTTTCCTCTTGTAGTCCTTTCTACATTTTTCCTCATAAGCATCCCTTTAAGAGAAGACTTCTTTAATGTGTCCCTTCTTTTTCCCCAAAAGAGGGACGATAGATTATTTCAAGGAGCAGCAGAGGGTGGGGAGGAGGCAATGAGGACCTAGGTCCTTGCAGTCACCAGAGAACTCTGAACTCGCTGTGTCCCCCTTCAGCCTCTCTTGGGTGGCCTCCGTGTTTCTGTTACCTTGGTAGAAAGAATATGTGACTCCCCTGCCTGCCTTGAAGTCTTGTTGCCATGGAAACTTCCATTCCACACACCTGATTCACATACCATGCTTGGCTAAGTCCAGACAGAGGCCACAGAGTGGCATTTGCCCTTTGTTTCTCCTTTTTGTGCTTGCCAGGCTCTTGAAAATGGATGGGGATAGGTGAGAGGGTGGGCAGCGTGGTGTGGGAGAAAGCTGTGTCAGGGGCAGACGCTTGGGGATTTCGGAAGATAATCCCATGGAGGGAAGAGCAGAGCAAATGGAAAAGTCTGTGTCCTTTTAAGCTTCTCCTGGACGCAAAGGCTTTGATCCTGTGATGTGTCTGGCGGTAATTTTCTGGATTTCCGGGTGAGATAGGATATGAGTGAACAGATTCAGGGAGCTGTTGCTCCTTAGTGAGTTTTTCTGTCCCATTTTCACTGAACTGACCAGTAATCTGAGCTCCATGGTGAACATGTTGGGGCTGTGACCTGGGTTTAGGCGAAACATCAATTAAAGCTGTGAACTAAGAATCCAGCCCTCTGATGACTCTTTCTCTGGCTCGTCTTTGATACAAAGCGTACTCTTTTAGAAAGCACAAACAATTTGTGGAAATTATCATTCATGAGGGGTCAGTACCCTGGCTGGAGTACATTGCTGTTTTCCCTCTGATATTTTCTTTTCCTCTTGTCTAAGTCCTTTAATAAGTAATTTAGCGGGAGGGGCCCTGGCGGAGAGCAGACTAGTCACCTCCTCCCCCAGCCAGACGTTCTCTTTTGTAGGTTGTCATTTTCTCTTGGTTCCTGTTTATACAGCAGAGTTTCAGAAATTAAAAAAGAAAGTGTTCAAATTGTCATGGTAATTGGTCCTCCTAAAACATTTGGTTTCACACCGTACGTGGGTGTAGGTAGGTCTCATTCCTGTCTTGGCAATGGAATTAGCTCCCCGGTACCTGCCCTGCCTTCCCCCACTTGTTCTTCTGTTTCCTCTCCCTGTTTAGGCGGCCTTCATTTACAAAGTGCACCCTCACGCAGCAGTCAGGAACTCTAGTTTGGAGTCAGTCAGACCCGAGGGGGAAATCTCATCTCCGTTTTGTTCTTGGACAAATGCTTTTATCAACCTCAGTTTCCTCATTGGTGAAATGGTCTTCATGATAAACGCTGTGATTTTTAAAGAGCTTGTGACCTAATAACTATTGTTATTTTTACCTTGCTAGATCATGGTATAAATAACACAGTATTTGAAAGAATTGTCTTGCCATCAGTACTGCTGCTTTTTATTGTTGTTACTGACTTTGGCATAGGCAAGAGTGGACACGGGGAAAGAATATACTAGTAAATGGTGGATTGAAAGAAATAGATCATTCTTATCCAAAATAGTGTGCGCACACACATTCCCTCCCTTTCTGTCATTCATGGGCACACTCTTGTTGTGTCTTTTGAAGCTCACGGCAAGTTCAAGCAGCAAAGTGAAAAGGTGGTACACTTCCTGGGAGACAGAATGCTGTCACAGGGACTGTCTGCTTTACAGAGAGAGAGCAGTGATGCCCCGTCAGCATTTGCAGGCAGCCCTGCAGGGAGAGATGTGAATTCCTATTCGATAATCCAAGGGCCATTCAGATCTTCCTGCCTCAACTGGATTCTCTCCTCTCTATCCTCCCATAACATTTTCTATCTCTCTCTTTTTTAAATTGTGGTGAGATATACATAACATAAAATATATCACTTTAACCCATTTGTTAAATGTATAGTTTCATGGCATTATATGCTGCCACACTGTTGTGCAACCATCACCACCATCCATTTCCAGAACTTTAACATCTTCCCAAGCCAAAACTCTCTACCTATTAAGCAGTAATTCCTAAGCCTGCTTCCCACCACCTTTGTCAATTACCATTCTACTTTCAGTCACTATGAATTTGATTGCTTAAGATACTTAATAGTAGTGAGATCGTGCAGTATTGCCCTTTGTGACTGGTGTGTTTTACTTAGCCTGATGTCTTCAGGGTTTATTCATGTTGTAGCAGGTGTTGGAATTTCATTTCTCTAAAGGCTGAATAATATTTCATTGTATGCACACCCCACATTTTGTTTATCTGCTTATTCACCAACGGAGATTTTGGATTATTTCCACCTTTTGGATAATGCTTCTATAAACACTGGTGTGCAAATATCTGAGTACATTTTCTTCTTTTTATTATGGTAAAGATGATAAAATGTTAGACTGGATCAGGGTCTTCATTGTGAATTCTTCAGTAGCAGTAAAATTGGTTATGCTATGCATTTTCTTTTTTTTTTTATTGTGGTAAAAAACATAACATAAAATTTGCCATTTAAACCATTGTTAGGTGTACAATGGTGAACAACAATGGGTACCGAGTTTCAGTACTGCAAGATGATGTATGGGCTTGGTTACTCCAAGGACTCATATAAGTGAGATGATACAGTATTTGTCCTTCTGTGACTGGCTTATTTCACTTGGCATGATGTCCTCGAGATTCATCCATGTTGTAGTATATGGCAGGTTTTCCCTTTCTAAGGCTGAACAACGTTCCTTTGTATATGCCCCATTTTTTAAAATGTATTTATCTGCCAGTGGACATTTGGGATGTTTTGAATAATACTGCAGTGTCTATGGGTGAGCAGATATATCTTTGAGAAGTGGAATTATTGGATCATATGGTAATTCTGTGTTTAACTTTTTGAGACACCTCCATACTGTCTCCCATACCTGCACTATTGGTGGGAATTTTACAGTGCACATGGCTCCCACTTTCTCCACAACTCCATCAACACTTGTTATGTTTCTATTTTAATTTTTGTAAAAGTGGCCATCCTGATATGTGTGGGGTGATAAATCATAGTGATTTTGATTTGTAACGAAGTTTCCTAAAGCAGCTTTAAAGAGCATATTAAAAGCAAACAGACAGATGGAGGTAATAGTTAGCTTAGGATGGAAAGAAGCTTGGGAAACCCTGGGGTTCCCAGAGTAGTTGTTTGATCTCCTCTGACAGTCTGTGTGCTGGGAAGGGTGCTGTCTGTCCTCTGCACTGCTGTCTCCCAGGCCTGGAGGTCCAGTCTGGCCTCAGTGGTGTGGCTTGGCCGACAGTCCGTCGCCCTCTCATCCTTTTGGAGTCCTGGGTGGTTAGTAAGCATTTTCTCAGAGCAAGTGACTCAGAATTAAATGTAGCTCCAGATACACAGTTATTTCAAAGAACAAGGATGCCTCATTCTTTTTTTTTTTTTAACCATTTCTATTGACTACTCCTCTGTGGATGAAAAAAATATCAGTGCTGATTTAAAGTCAGCATTCTTTCTTTAGTTCATTCAATTGCATTAATGATATACCCAGAACAATCCTGTCCAATAGAAATGTAATGCAAGAGGTATATTTTCTAGTAGCCATGTTAAAAAAAAAAAAAAAAAAAAACAGGAAGGAAAACAGGTGACGTTAATTTTAACAATACATTTTATTGAACCTGACATACCTAAAACACTATCATTTCAATATGGAATGAATATTAAAAATGGAGATAGTCTACTTTATTTTTCATACTAAATTTTGGTAATCTGCTGCTCATTTTAAGCTCATAGCACTTCTCAATTTGGATTGGCCACATTTCCAGTGCTCAAGAGCCATGTGTTTCTAGTGGCCAGCTCACTAGACAGTACAGACCTGGCGTATGGAGCCAGGGATATCTGAAGTCCAGCAAAGGCCAGCCTCAGCTCTGCCTAGTGGTCGAGATGGTGTCCAGAGCTTGTGGAAGAGACGGGCGCGGTGGTACCAAGCCCAGCAGAGGGGCTCCCTGCTGCCGCCTTGGGTTGGTCTGCCACCCCTAGACCTCATTCCTTTGAACTAGTCCCCTGTGGGGAGGGCGCTGAGCTGGAGTTTGGCATGGGCCCCAGCTCATCAGACATTAACTTTTTGCCTCCTATGTTAGGAGAGCCGCTGCCAAGTTTACTTTTAATTACAGGCTCTGCTCTGGCCCTGGGTCTGTGAGCAGGGATTTCAGCATCACGACCTCATTGCTCTCCCGCGGGCCTTCCATTCCCACAGGCGGAATCCCTCCCCTCTCTGGGCAGTGCTGGCCTGGACTCCACCTCAGTCCTTTGCGCTGCTCCCCAGGAGGAGGTCAAGAGTGTGGTGCTGAGAGAAGGACTTTTATCTGAACACCCTTCCCCTCACCTCTGGGAGGCGACTCCAACAGCTCTAGTTGTTTAGGGGAAGGTCATGGCCTTGGACGGGCTTCCCTGAATCCACCCTGTCGCCTCCCTGACCACCCCCATGTCCAGGTCCTCAGGGAGCTCTGGAGGCACCGGCTCGGGCCCTGCAGCCGGGCAGGCCTGTGCGGCTCCCAGGCTCCTGCGTGGGGAAGGAAGGGTGGCCAAGACGTGTTTACAGAGAGCCAGCCAGGAAGGGCAAGGGAAGAGGAGGAGCTGTTTCCACTTATCCTCCCACCTCCTTTTGGCTTTCTCTCCTGGCATTGCCGGAGGCCAGAGAAGGGATGGGAATCTGGCAAAGTGAAAGTATATCATTGTATTTCCCCAGAGCCCTCCGTCTCATCTCCCCCCTACGGAAGCCAGGCTGGACTTCTTTCCACCCAGTTTACTTAACACTCAGAGACTCAAAATTCCTTTCCTGCCGCTGATGTGGAAGAGGCTTGGAAATAGGTTCCTTTCCAGGAGATGAGTGATATGGCAGAGAGACAAGGTCAGATGAGGCCAAGGGACGGGAGCCAGGTCTTACCAAACTCTTGCAAGGCAGCACTGTGACTGCCGGACTTGCTATGCTGAAGGAGAAGGGGTGGTCTTGCGCTCCACACTGTCTGGAATCTTCTGTGATAGGTGGAGTTAAGGGAGATGAGGGGCTTTGGGGGAGGGGGCAGGATGAGTCTGGTCCTTCTGAAAACTAGGCTAGTGTTTGTTGACATGTTAAAAAAAACAGAATGATTAATATTGCCAGCCTACTGTAAGGCTCTCTTTCTTTAAATCATATTTTAAACTTTACACTATTAACATAGATTTCTTTGGGACTTGTTTATACCTTGCACCCTTAGGAATCAGGTCCCCTGTGTAAGGATTATGAGAATCTCATTGATTACCTAAATTAACAAAGAGGCCAAAGTGAAATATTTCTTCTCCCAGGAAAATAAAGTAAATGAAAGCAGATCAATTGCTCTTCTCATTATTGCAAACTCGCAAATCTGCTAAGAGTCAAAGTTAACTTTATGATGTACTTTAGCAGAGAGTATTTTTATGAACAAGAACTGTGAACATCGAGAAGTTAGCTCCAGGAAATGAAAAGATTAAGACAAAGGAAAAGGTCACACGATTTGAATGTCACACATGCATACTTACTTTGTACTGAGATAATGAAAGAGAATCCTTTTGACTGCTATGACCTATGGTCCTGTGCATTTTGGTACCAACAATATTTTGTCTCTCTTTTTTTTTTTTTCTTCATGAGATGTTTGAGTGGTAGTTTGAGTCCCTTCAACAGGTCAATGGACCAGCCTAGAAGCTAGTTGAAGTTACAACACAGGCTGTGGTCAGGAGCCACCACGAGTGACAAGCCAGGCCAGCAAGACTGTGGGTTCTGGGTTTGAATCCTGACTCCACCACTAATTAGCCCTGTGAGAATTACTCAGCCTCTCTTAACCTCCTTAATTTTCTGTAAAATTAGAATTATAAATTTATATTGATGGAGCTTACCCATATACTGTAAAGATGGCTCATTTAAAGTGCTTAGTCCATAGTTCCTGACAAATATTAAATTAGGAGGAAATATTAATTCATATTAATACTTAAACTGAAAATACTGAGTTTAGCTGGCAATATATAGCTGCCCTTGTTTATTTCTACCAGTAGCAGAGCAAAACATTGTTTGGTTGACACTTGGTTGGCCTTTTTGAAAAATTCTTTAATTATGTATTATTTTTCTTTGCAGCCTTGTAGGTGTGTGGTGTGTATGTGTAGGAAAAGCCAGTAATTACCCCTTGCAGATGGAGCTGACCAAACATTCTTTCCCATGGCAACTGAAAACATAAAAAAATAAAATTAAAAAAATTGGAGGTTACATAATTGCCGTCCCTGGAGGAGGAGGAGGAATGTGGAGATCATGGAGTTTCTTGTGGCTTTGGTTGGAGGTGTTGGTGAAGATACAGAGGTACTGCTGAGCAGCTGAACAGGATGCTGTTGCTTGCTTTGAAGTGAATAAACTGGTCAAAAGTACAAGTGGGAGGGGAAGTTGAGGATTAATGAAGGAGGATCATTATTAATGTTTCCATGGTTTTAGCAGTTTAAAAGTTGGGAGCTTAAGTAAGTTTGTTGGTTGAGGGGAAAATAGCCCACAGACATTCAGACATGGTGAAGTTCAGTGTTTTAGTCTTCATTTTAATCTGAAAATAGGGAGTCAAGGCTTTTGAATAACATAGCAAAGGGACTGCTTCATAATTTCAACAGTGAATGCTAATTATCGTATATCCACAATGGCACAAGATTCAGAAAACACCATTCTTCTCTAATCCCAATTATCCAAAGATTGTTTTTTTGTTTGTTTGTTTGTTTTTTGTTTTTTGTTTTTTTTTGGGGGGATAATATTACTTGTTTGGATTACTATTTCTGCTTTCAAGAGGATTTATATTAATTTTCCCAAAGCCTACATGGAACCCAAAACATTAACTTTTTTTTTAAATTGATTTTAGAGAGGAGAGAGAGGGTAAGAGAGATTTAAAAACATCAATGATGAGAGCGAATCATTGATAGACTGCCTCCTGTGCGTCCCCCATTGGGGATCTAGCCTGCAACTTGGGCGTGTACCCTGACCTGGAACAACAGCCTCCTGGTGCCTAGATGGATGCTCAACCACTGAGCCACACCAGCAGGGCCAAAACATTCACTTTCAGTGAAGAGTGGTATCTTTCCCCAACTTCTATAAATTGATATTGAGTCCATTGTCCTTATCTTTCTTGTATAAAGAATAACATAGAAGGCTTCATTTATTTGATTGGAAGATAGTATTGCCTTTGTCATTGGGGATTTGGCCCTCTTGATGCTAGAACAGGGTTGGAAAAAACTATTAACCTTCACCTACCCCTCACCATGTATATTAAAGTAAGCCCATATTTTGTTTTATTTCTAAACATTAGGTTATTTTCCCTTCCAAGGACCCAACTCTATATTTCAGTAATAATTTTGGGGTAGAAAGAACATGGAGAACTGAAATCTATAAACTAAAACCCAGTATTTAAAAACCTCTTTTACTTCTCAGCTCTTAAATGTCTGCAAAGAATATGGAGAGTGAGAGGGATAAGATACTATCTTTTTTTATGGTAGTTATTATTCTTTTAATACATTTAAAGAATAATTCATCAAAGGGAAGGTATGCCAAAGCATGACGTATGATATGATATAGCATATAGATTAGAAATATTCAGTGCAGCATACATTTGAATATAATGTTAAGGAACTTATTATGTATAACACTTTCAAATGTATGCCGAAACCAGTTTGGCTCAGTAGTAGAGCGTCGGTCTGTGGACTGAAGGGTCCCGGGTTCGATTCTGGTCAAGGGCATGAACATTGGTTGCGGGCATATCCCCGGTAGGGGGTGTGCAAGAGGCAGCTGGTCGATGTTTCTCTCTCATTGACTTTTCTAGCTCTCTAGCTCTCTCTCTTCTTCTCTGTAAAAAATCAATAAAATATATATTTAAAAAAAACCAATTTCAAATGTAAATTGGTAGCATTATATATAATCAGTATTTTTGAATATCTGGTTTTCAAATATGTATAGTGACCATGTTATCTAAAACTTTTAAAAATATATTTTATTGATTTTTTTACAGGGAGGAAGCAAGAGTGATGGAGAATTAGAAACATTGATGAGAGAGAAACATTGATCAGCTGCCTCCTGCACACTCCCTACTGGGGATGTGCCTAAAACCAAGGTACATGCCCTTGACCTGAATCAAACCTGGGACCCTTCAATCCATAGGCCGATGGTCTATCTATCCACTAAGCCAAACCAGTTAGGGCTCTAAAACTCTTTTTTTTTAAAAAAAATATATATTTTATTGATTTTTTTACAGGGAGGAAGAGAAAGGGATAGAGAATTAGAAACATCGATGAGAGAGAGTCATCGATCAGTTGCCTCTTGCACACCCCCTACCAGGGATGTGTCCGCAACCAAGGTACATGCCCTTGACTGGAATCGAACCCGGGACCTTTCAGTCCGTAGACTGTCGCTCTATCCACTGAGCCAAACTAGTTTCGATGAGATATTATCTTTAATGAGTGCCCATGGTTTGGGACACTTGGAGTTAGAAACTTTGGATTAGAAGTTTCAGGCCCAAGAGTTGCTATTGATAAGGCAAATATAATTAAAAGCAAGATTTATATTCACATCCATATAATTTTTGCTCACCTTTTCCCATCCATGATAATCACTTGGGGATATTTACCTAGTTCTGACCTGGGGGAATAAATAAATTTCTCTCTCTCTCTTTGGCAATCCTGTCTCATCAGTTTCATCAGTTTCAATCTTCATAAATTGTAAGAGTTAGGAATGTCTTTCTTCCCAATACTAGTATTGGGCCTTTTTTACATTGATAGTCTAGGGATCAAATTTGGAACTCTGGAGGGAGAAGTGGAACTGTGCAGGTTTTTGTTTGTTTGTTTGTTTGGGTTTTTTTTTTAGCCTGTGAGCTCTGGCTTTTGCATTATCTCTGCTCCAAGTTTCTGTTTGACCTGGAACATACATAAAGAACATCTATCTCTACCTTCTACTGCCCTCGCCTTATTCTAAGCAGTTCTTTTCTAATAGTATTGCCTAATTCCTCCACTCCAACCCCCTTCTCTTCATTGAAGAGTGGGATGAACATCTTATTGCTCTCTCCACCGGTTTTCATTCGGAGTGTTGGAGAGTTGCCTTTTCAGTGTGTGTGTGTTGGTGGTGCAGTTCCCATGGCCTCTCCCTGCAGGCTCCACACTCTCCTGCCACAACCAGGCCCCTCCACTCTCCTAGGGCTTGTCTCTAGCCTAGTCCCAAGCACACACTCCGTGGTACCAGGTATCCTTATGAATTCTGGAAAGAAGTTATTTACACCCAACCATGAAAAAGAAGAGAATTGATAGTTTGATTAAAAATGGTAAACATAGGGTTAGGGTCATTCCATTCCATTCCAGCAATGTAATAAAAAGAAATGGGAATCAAGATTGGGGATCTGGACCTGGATTTGCCAGTAACTAGAATTGTAAAGGTGATAGTTACTTGGTTTTAATGGACCTCATATCCAAATATAAAATTATTTTATGTTCCAATTTATAAAATAAAGTGTTAGACCAAATTATCATTAAGATTTCTCTCAGTATTATGATTCTGTTTTTTAAAGAATATATATTTTATTGATTGTACTCAGAGAGGAATTGAGAGGGACAGAGAATTAGAAACGTCAATGAGAGAGAAACATCAACCAGCTGCCTCCTGCACACCCCCCACTGGGGGTGTGCCCTCAACCAAGGTATATGCCCTTGACAGGAATTGAACCTGGGACCCTTCAGTCCGCAGGCCGACGCTCTATCCACTGAGCCAAACCGGTCCAGGCATGATTCTGTTTTTAAGTTCAGTACTTCTGATTATAGTTTATCTTATTAAGGATTACAATGTTTGTATTTTATACTACCTGTTATTCAAGGTTGTTTACTGCCATTAACATACTCAACAATCAAAGCACACAGGAGATAAAATTTAAAAAAGTTTCCTCTGACTCTGACTAGCCTGCTCTACCCAGTGGAGGGAAACTGGTCAAGGACAGTTGTCTCTTAAAAGCAACAGAAGAAACTGTGGAGTAAAGCAGACATGGTGTCGTATCTTTCATTGGGTCTTCAGAAAGGAACTTCTGTATAATTAAAAAATCTGAAAAGCTGAGTTAAGATTAGATATTCCTTTGGGAATCACTTCTTTGGAATCTTTAAAAATGGAATCATCAAATCAGAATTTATTTAAGTATTCCCCTTAGATAATAAGAGGATTTTAATTGACCTTCAAAAATCCGAGTCTCAACTTTAGCGTATGCTCAGATGCTTCTCTTTACCATAAACCTCTGTTAATAGTTTATGGCTCTTTTCAGAAAAAAGTTAGAAAAATTATAAAGATGCTTAGGAAAGCCAACAAAGCTATAGTTGGAAGATAGCAGTGTTCCCTTAGAAAGTTTTATATCTGTTCCTCAGAAAGATGCATGAACAATGAACCAGGCTGTTCTTGTCTTGTTTTAAAGTAAACAGATTTGTAGACTTGTAGTTGGCTCCTGATGAACCACTCATGGAGCCATTTAAGACATGAGCTTTGCATTGGTATTGAACCAACTGAATAAAAGCTGTTTATAACCTTGTTATACCTTTCCAACATAAACAGTATCTCTTACATAAATCACTTTTATACCAGTTTATACATAACATCATGTGGGAACTTTTTCTCTTATTTTTTGTTTGATCTGCACTACAAGCTAGGCATCTATGTCCCCTGACAGTGGTGTTCTAGGTTATCTTTTACATTCTGAAGTGGCATAAGCCAAAGCTATCTATGTTACACTTGTCAAGGGATAGCATTTATTACTCTACTAGAGGCTCGATGCACAAATTTGTTCATAGGTGGGGTCCCTCTGGGTGGCCTGCAGAGATCGTGCCAAAACCCTCAGTCCAACACTACCTGCAGCTCCTACCTGCCACCCCCACTCATTCCAGCCCCACTGTGCCTGCCATGGGCTTGCCCTTAATCAGTCCTGATCAGGAGAGGCTTGAGTTGCTGCAACAGTGCTCACCAGCCATGAGCCCTGTATCTAGCACTCTGTCAAGGGAGTGGCCTATGGGATAGGGCTGAAACTGGCTCTCCAACATTCCCCAAAGGGTCCCAGATTGTGAGAGGGTGTAGACCAGTCTGAGGGACCCAACTGCATATGTTCGGGCTCTGGAGGGAACCTGGGAGGGCTCCAGGGCGTTTCTGGCCCATCTCACTCAGTCTCAGTTGGCTGGACCCCAGCAGCAAGCTAACCTACTGGTTGGAGCATCTGCTCCCCGTTGGTCAGTGCACATCATAGCGAGTATTTGAGCAGTCTTAGCATATCATTAGCATATTATGCTTTGATTGATTGTTCGGTTATTCTGCCTTTTGGTCTATTTGCATATTGCCCTTTTTTATATAGGAGTCTAATTA